GTGATGCGAGAGGTGAGAGTTCTGTCAATGCCTCCATGAACGCGTCGAACACCTCAGGAGCGGCCGGGGAACCTGGCGGAACGAGTTGGGGGTGGTGGTGAGATCATGGAATAAGAGGAGGGTGGTACAGCGGGAGAAGCCGGAGAGGCGGGGGCTGTGTCATCCTCAGACACAGGAGAGATCCAGTGGTTCGTCATCACGTTGTCATCATGGCCTCCATCCGGCCCTTCCTCATCATCAGACAGTTCCACCACCACCTCAGCAGCCGCTGGAGATTGTGGCCTTTCTCCGGCAGCACTCAACCCCGCAGTTTGCTGAGAGTCAGCCACCAACCCGGGATTTTGCCCCCATGGCGGAGGCATAGTCCCAGGGCTGGCTGCGATGCAAGCCGCACTGTGCACAGTCATTTGGTGGGAACCGTTAGGTAGGCGCCAAGTCATGCGGATTAACGAGTATACTTCTAAAGGTTGATTGTTCCTGTCAAACATGACAGTGGGTATTTGGAGGTCCCCCATGGTAGCCTGTAATACGGTACTTTTACATGGCAGGTCAGCAAATCCTAGCCATATCCAGCTCTTCCGCAAAGTGGGGAGCTGGTCGTATGTAATATAAATTCCGTCAGGCATGAGCCAAAATTCATGCACCCGATTTATCGGTGAGGGGAAACAACAGTGCCCTGTTGGAATAAATGTAATTCTGTTATCCCATATTTACTCTCTGTGTAGCTTTAAAACTTGTTTCAGAGTGATACCTTGCAAATACCTCATATACAATGGGGTAGAGGTTGATAATGGGAGACTTGTCGGACCGGGAGAGGTCAGGCTGCTCCTGTTCTAGCTTTTAAGATAATATCCTTTTGTTAAGTTAACGGCTTCTGATCAAATTAACTGTTGCTTGTGAGAAGATAACATCAACCCCAGGACACCATGTGAGGGACATCTCAAGCTGTGTTCGTGGACCACCGACCTCCAGCAGGAGTCATCTGACATTTCAGGAATGAACTGTGTGTTCTCATTGAAAGTCTTCTCTACTGAAACTGTTGTGAAATGTGCAAATACTCCCCACACCCATTAGAAGATCGTGTATCAGGGATTTCCTTCCAATAAATGCAAGGAGACAAACGCGGTCTCTTCAGAGTTGCCCCGTAACCTGTAATGGTTTACATGGCAGAGCCAGCTGGAGAGCCTTTCGGAGATTGTGAACCAAGACATGTTTTAGCGCACTCTCTCTTGCAAGAAAGACAACCATGACTGCCTCATGAGTCTTCCTGTTCCTGATTTGTTCTTCACGTCAGATTACCAGCATTAACCTAACATGCCCCATGAAGGTTCTACCTACAATTCTTGCGGACCTGAAGGGATGCGGACCCACAGAGGACACACTTCGGCAGGGTCTCATCCTGTAACATCCACAAAGTCAATGCAGCCCTTTTATTCAATTACTCGGGAGGATCGACCTTTTGGCTAGGTCGATCATGCCTAGCCAAAAGAGAACCGACATAAGTCCCCATCCAATTGCCCATATTGCTAATTTAACCGTTCGCAATATGCAAATCTTGCTACCTTTTCCACGAGGGTTTTTCTGCAGCCGGAAAACCAGTGTCATAATGTACAAGGCCAGTGATATTGCAAGTATCCCTTCCAATATTACCGCTCCGTAGATAATCTCAAAAGCTTTAAGCGCAGTCATATCCAGTACCACCCAGCACAATAAGACAAACGTTTAGGCAATTTCTGTGGCTGTGCTGTATTTGATCAGTATATGTCCATGCATGTACAATAAACATTCTCTAGTACGGACTCGTGTTTGCGCTATCCAATCTGTCCTGATAACAGAAATTCCTAATTTGGGAAATGAGCATGGTACATGTCCTTTATGAACCTGCAAGTATGTTGACAAAACGCACGTGTAACAACACAATCAATAAAATGCAAAAATATACTGTCCAAAAACTGTTTATATAACAAAAACTGCAATACAGGTGTATCCAAAAAAATCACAACAGTACAATACGTACAGTATTTTAATGTTTATTTTTTTCTGTCTTGGGAAAAAATGTCTATTTTGGATTGTTTTGTTGGATGCATTCTTTGGTTTATGACAATGTTTGCCTGCGTGTCATACAGTTTTCTTGCTAGTTGCAAGTAACTGTCCCATTGATCACCGATGTCTGGTGATTCTTGTGCATACTGATGGATTTGTTGCCATTTGCATTGCTTCCTCGCTGGATGGTGGCTTGTCATCAGGAGTTGAATCGATGCCTTGTTTTTTTAAAGTTTCGTAGATTTGCGTCTTTCCGACTCCAAGTGTCTCCTGGATGCTTTTTACTTTGTGTCCAGCCTCGCTCAAACGGATGCATTTCACTCGCTGAGCTACAGTCATTACAGTTCTTCTACGTTTCGATGCCATGATCTACACGACGTAAGTGAATAAAGTTAAAATCTTTCGCAATTGCAGTAAAACGCACGCCAATAAAAAGTCACTTACACGTCGTCGTTTCGAATCTGATGAATGAAAACGGCGAAGCGAACACGTTTCTTCCGTCGTGTTGAGTGGGCGCTGCTTTTTAAGCTAGTGCTGCGATCTATGGGACGTAAGTGAATAAAGTTAAAATCATTGACAATTACAATCAAACGCACGCCAATAAAAACTCACTTATACGTCGTCGTTTCGGATATGATGAATGAAAATGGCGAAGTGAACACGTTTCTTCCGTCGTGTCAAGTGGGCATTGCTTTTTAAGCCAGTGCCGCAATCTACGGGACGTAAGTGAATAAAGTTAAAATCTTTCGCAATTACAGTAAAACGCACGCCAATAAAAAGTCACTTACACGTCGTCGTTTCGGATCTGATGTTAGAAAAAGGCGAAGTGAAACCTTGTCTTCCGTCGTGTCTTTCCGTCGCATCGGGTGGGCGTTGCGTGTATTTAAGCTGCCGCGGCCTTCCGTCTCCATCTGGGTTACGGCTAGTGGAATTTCCGCTTACGTAAGTACCGATAACATGTAATATCGTAGTCAAATGTTAATGAATAGGTTTTTATTCCGGGTGAAGGAAATTCCGTTTCATAGAATTCCGGGGATGGGAATTTTACTGTATACGATAAAGCAGCCTAATCCCAAAGTATAAGTGCAATACACGAACCTAAGGATGAGGACCTTTGTCACGGACAGGGGCATCACTAGGTTTCAAGAACAAGGGGGGCTTAGCCCCAAGGGGAACACAGCCCCTTTAGGGAGATCCGGGGGCATGCTCCCCCGGAAGAATTTTTTTCTACATTCTGTTAAAAATCCATCAATTCCGTGCACTTTGAGAGCAAAATGAAGAGGCTATGAAGAACTACACACATCACATTAGTATCCTCTTTACTATGATGGGGCTTCCTCCCCTGGACTTAACTGGACTAGATAATAGAAATTCTAAAGAGTTCAAAAGTTCAATCTTGGTTGTTCAAGGGAATTAGAAGGATGCCCGATAACATAACCTATATGACAGTAGGCCTATATTCCTCTCTACCAAAATGTATTAATATATGCTTAGCCCCCAGAAGACTATGTATTTTGAGATGTCTGCCGTGATATGCAATTTAAGTTAGTACAATGAGATGCAAAAGCTTCATCACTTTGGAAAAACACAAGTTTGCTGCT